TTCCCTTTCACAATCTTCACATTTTTCTACACAAATAACCAATATATGTGGCAGTCATTCTTACCACATCCTAAGTCATTATGAACAAATCATTTTTGTGCCCTTTCACAATGGTTCTATTACTTGATAAAGAAAATTATTTAGAAATACAAGAGATAAATGTACATAATTTATATTTTTGTAGTTTTCTAATAAATCTTTTTCCTTATCAAAAGACTCTATTGTCCCCATGTGACTTGACTATTAGTATTATACAAAAAACTTATCCAAGAACTCCATTTATGTTGATGGCAAATATCTGACCATCCTAAATTTACTGTACTTAATATCTTTTCTTTTCCAATTAATTATAGACTTTTTTTTAAAATTGTCAGAAGGTGTGTGCACCTGCCAGAAAGAGACAGAGAGAGGGGAAGAAAGCGTGCTCTAATGGGATGTGGTCACACTGCAATCCCTTGTTCTCCATTTCTCCTTCCTGTCAGGATTTTGGGCGCCCATGCACATGTGCCTGGTTTGTGTTTTAAGCTGCTGGGGCCAGGATTTGAACCACGTTCAGTCATGCCTGGCTCCCTTAACCACTAGGTCATGAGGCCAGTCCTTAATTTTAGACTTTAAAATTTACAGGTTTCATTTTTCTGTATAGTAACATATTTTGAAAAACGTCTCGTGTCTCAAAAATCACCTAGAGATAATATAAAGGGAACAAATCTAATCTACAACCTGTTTGGATGCTGAGAACCTATCTCAAAAACCTCCAACAGTACCTGGCCCATAGAAATGGCCTCTCCTGAGGGGCTACCAACTTTAGCTTTGTTGTCAAATATGCTTATATCCACTATGCCAATTACGTTCACTCAGAGTCATGGAGATTCCTTATAAATATATCACGTTTTGCCTTCAAAAGCATCTAACTTGTAAATATTAAATGGCTTTCAGTGAAAAGTCAGAGGTATTAAACATCAGTAATTTTAATATACTCTTAAGATCTTTTTTCTCATTCCTTAGAACAGTGGGGAGATGTACAAATACTAATTCACTTCTCTACTAAAAGCTAAAACAGTAATACCAGGAACGGGTTTGGAGTTTGGGAGAGAATATTAGATGAATCTTCAGGAAAGTGGATTTTAACAGCTACATAAAGGAATTAGCTCCTGGAGAATTGCCTCACGTAGTTAACTGATGTTGTTTTTATGCTAATAATCAACAGAACTTAAAAAGGTTATAGTTATGATGGCTACAAAAAGGAATTAAAGAGATCCTGTAGCATACCTTGTAAACTGTGTTTCACAGAACACTACTCAGAATTTCAAGGCCAATTCCTCACAAGAGCACTGAAAGCGTCTTAACTTCATTTCTGAATGAAAAATTACTTTCAGTTTGTAGACAAACATTCTGATTTATATATAAAAAGAAGCAGAACCTGAGACAGGGTAGAGAGAGAAATCTGGTATTTTAAAACTGTGCGCTCCGTAATGGTTGCAAATGTTAATGAATGAGAGGAACACGTAGTCCCTGAGAAATAGAGAGATAATTGAAGATAATGTCCCTTTCCATTGAAAGAGAAAAAAAAAAAAAAAAAACCTGGGATCTGGTAAAAGAAAGAAAGAAAAAAAAAACCCACAAGGACTCCTGCATTTCTAATGAAGACATTAAAAATTTTAAATGGAGCTCAAAATTTACCTATAATAGATAAAAAGTACTGTTTATAGGTAGAATAGGTTTTACGAAATCAGCATAATGATGTATAAACACTACAGAAACAGATTTTACTCTATTTAAAATTCATTACTTGATAAGATCCTTTACCAAACAATGTCCTTTCCATATAAAGGAAATTTTAGCTGCATAAATGAGTTTAGGTATCTGACCATATGATAGAAAATGGAGTAAAATTAAGCATTTACCATCATCCTGACTTTTTAGAGTAAGACACTGTGTCAAGCTAGGCCCACAGAAAATAAGAACAAATAGGGAACACCCAACAGTTATTTCAAACAAGAAGTACACGCATTATCACATAGTCCCTTGTATACAATACTTAGTATTCATGAATTCATGAAATCTTTAAAAAAGTGATGTGATCTGTAAACTTGAAGTCTTAGACTTTAAAAGGTGTTCTTCACATCCCATGTAACTTATTTTAGAAGTAACACATTATTTCAGAAGATTATCTAAGTGTCACAAACAAGCAACATGTATATACTGCAATTTTATTTCAATCGCACAAACGAAGTTAGCGTGTAGGAAATTTAAATGAGACAATTACGGTAAAAACAGCAGAGAACTGAAGAACCTAAAAAAGCAGCACACCTAAAGCATGAAAATTCAACATTCATTAGTTTCAGCTTCGGTTTTGATTGACACTTGATGCTTTGCAAATTCAAACAAACTTTGAAATCATGACTATTCTGGAGAGATTTCAGCACCAGCGCTAAGATTTGTACATTCAGTTTGTTCGCAATGGACTTGTCAGCCATTTACATAGTGTATAGTACAGACGCGTCACAGGTCAGATCACAGTGTTGAGGAAAGCAGTACCTTCCGTAATGAGAAAGGACCCCCTAAACTGTACCCAGCTTAAGACACCCAATGTACAAGAGCACAAAAACCATTGTAAGAATGTGGTTCCAAGAACAGAGTTTTTGATAAGGAAAATAACTTAAGCTTCTGTTTGCCATTTGGATTACTGAAATCTCTAACAATGACATCGCGGTCATGTATGACAGCAAATGTATACGATACTTCAATCAAACTTCTTGGAAAAAACACATTTAGCAAATCTGAGATAATGCAACATGATGGAAAGTATAGCATGGTTCAACACTGGTTTGTTTTTTCCATTCTATACAGACGTTATATTAATATTAGACCAAGGCACAAAACGTTTAGTGCATAAACCAGTTTCTTTTAAGATTTAGCATTTCATTTTAGTCTTCTATCTTACTTTGGACCACTTGTACCCAGTACTCTACCTGCTATAGACTGTTTAACTTACCCAACAAAATCAAACGTGATTTCTGACCAGATTTATAGAGGACATAAATGTTTATATTGCCAAAGTGTTTGGGTAACCAAAGGTACAATAATAAAGATGAAAATGCCACCTATTTCTTTTCAAAAATAGCACTTTATAAGCTTGTTGCTTCTTTAATGCCTTTATGACTATAGTGTGACAATGAATACTAAATAGAAAGAAAAACTGTGTAGTCAAATTATGGTAGCTCATCCACCACAATTAAATCTAAAAATGAAGTTTCTACAGAAACAGGAACTATATTAACAAGGAAAAAAAAATATTCCCTCATTCAAACTTCTCTGTAGTGGTAATGACGGCAAACCTGCAGCATTTAAAAAACTATGCTATCAACAAGCTTTACTTTATGAACTGAGATGTACGAAATTTAGAAAGCAGATGAAAGTGGATTATTTCTTCAAAATCTTAGTAAAACTTCTGAAAATCAAATATGGCACATAACAACTCAAGCATAAATCAAGATGGAGAGCCTGGAGATATTTTTGATTTCCTAAATTTTCCAAAAAGTTATCACTGCAACATAGAGGATTTCTCCCTTTTTGAATCTTTATCAGTTTCAAAAAGAAAAGGGAGTAGATTACATACGCACAGCACACACACACACACGCACACGCATACACACACACACACACACACACACACACACACAGTGGTAGGTAGAGTATCTAATTCCTTCTTCCCACCACATAAGTCTCATTTTATTAACAGAAAACTGCAGAACTCTTCATTGGTTTCCCTTTATCTAAGGATTTCTGTGACCTTACTTGCTGCCATCATTGTGACTTATTTCAACATAACAAAATTCAAAAGCAGCTTCATTGTCAGGAACACATACCTGAACACCTGTGTGAGTGCAGGGGCACCTAAGTGATAATAACTGCCAGATTCAGTGATCGAACTTCTGAGTCCCACAGTAAGAGGTGACTCCTGTGAAGCTCAGAGTCATGTTTCAGACCATGGAAATTACTGAAGTTAAAATACAAATAGCCGAAGACATGATGTAAAGGCTAAGTACTTGGTTTTGTTAACATATTTACCAATTAAAGTCACAAAATATTTCTCATTATTTTCATGCACGTAAGTGAGAAAAAGATAGTGCAGAAATTAACTGTAAATAAAAAATTATTCCTTCCCTTCCTCCCACTCCCCTTTACTCTACAAAATGTATTCCCTGGGACTAGGCCTTGAAAAGGCCACTACGTATTGGCATGGCATGCATTACGGTCTGCAATTAAAAAAGCTAACTTCGTGGTGACTGTAATTACATTATAAAAATGTCCACATGCATAAATCTAAAAAAGGTTGAAAACCTACAAGTAAATCTACAATATATTGTTTTACATTTGACCACTGGTTTGAGTTATGTAGAAGTCATAGATTTGGTAAAGCATTGTAACAATTTAGGAAGGCATCTAAATCTTTAAATTCTGGATGAATTTTGTTGTAATCTACAAAATTGCATGAAGGCTAACTTGAGAGACTTCCTATCATTCTAAAATTCCTCAAGCTGGACAAATCATTTTTAGGACACTTTCTTATAAATATCACCCTTTGAAAGCAAATACAATTTCAGTTGTTCTGCATTTTATAATCTTGACCTACACAGGGCTGATCTCAGTTATTCATGGAATATCAAATATGATAGGAAGACAAACCTGAGAGAAACATTTACAATACAATAGCATAACTTGCTTATTCTTCATCAGCAATCTCTGAAAAAAAAAAACTTAAGCCTTTCTCCTCTTTATTTAGCAATGGATTGTGGAAAATGTGCGATTTTATCTTGACATGAAAATATTTCAATGCACAATCTTGCCTGATGGGTTTAGTATTCTCTGCATAACTGTTACAGGAACTCTCACACAACTCTCTTCCATCCGATTTTAAAGGTCAGAAAAAAGCAGCAAACTGGGAGGGAAACAGCTTATCACCAGAGTTATGTCTGTAGGCCTTCAGAGTAGGTCGGTTTTTCCCTCCTTCTGACAAATGTTTGTCTCCATTTTCTTCTTACAGCTCTCAAAATGTAGGGGTTTGTTGTTAATAGTTGTTGTTTGCAGGAACTTTTTTTTCTCCAGATTAAAGTCCTATTTTTCCTTATTTTTTTCTCTATGCAGTATTTGACTTGCTCAGTTCCTGCCTGATTGCTGGATGGAAAAGAATCAAGTTTTGAAAGTAAGCATAATTATGAAGTGAAATAAACGGTGACTTCATTCTTAAGAAATCTTGAAAATTGTGTTAAAACTCACACTAATGAGGATAGTTTATTGACTTTGAATCCTTCATTGCACAGGTTATTTAATATTACAAAGATACTAATACTATGGATCATATTATGAGAAAGTAAGCCCTTACTTTAAGTGAACATAAACTGGACATTTTTTAATATTAATTTTTTTAAAAATAGCAACTCTCTTTTTTTTTAGTTGCCAGAGGGCATATACATATACACACACCAGAGTGAGTGAGAGAGGGAGAGAGAGAGGGAGAAAGTAGGCCCAATACAGTGTGTTAAGGTCACAATCCCTTCTCTTCCTTTTCTCCCTCCTGTCAGGATTTTGGGTGCACACACATACTTGTACCCAGTGTGTCTTTTAAGTGTTGGGGCCAGGACTCAAACCACAGTCAACCTCAAAAATAGCTATTTTTCAAATAATTAAGTAATTATTTAATTTATTATTTTTTTTGGAGAGGTTTTTTTTGCTATAGGGCGCGTGCACTTACCAGACAGACAGCGACAGAGAGAAAGCGAGAAATCACCCCCCAGGGGGATGGCCACGCTGCAACCCCTTCTCCTCCATTCTCCTCTTGGGATCTTGGGCACACACGTACCCAGTGTGAGTTTTAAGCCACTGGGTCTGGGATGCGAACCACGGTCGACTACATGGGAGTCCAGTGACATAGCCATTACGCTAACTGCTGGTCCCCACATTAATTAATTTTGTAAAAGATTTTACTATAGGGTTTGTGTGCTTGCCAGAGACAAAACAGAGAAAGGGACAGCAAGAAACTACTCCCCAGAGGGGATGGCCCCACTGCAATTCCTTCTCCTCCACTCTCCTCTCAGGATTCTGGGTGTACTCATGTGCGCGTGTACACAAACACACGCACACACACATCCAGCATGATTCTCAAGTCATCAGGTCCAGGACTTGAACTGAGGAGAGCTGGCCATAATAGGACCCAGAGCCGCAACCTCCACACCACCTGCCAGCCCTCTGCGCGCAGATGTGAGTCTGAATGGCTATTCTTAAATGTTAGTAAATTTGCTCACTTACCATCAATAAGCTCTTCTTTTAGCTTTGTTAATTCTTTTCTCATTTCTTCTAAAATATCCTAAAGTAGCAGAGAAAAACATATAGAAAAAAAAAATTACTGCTAAAGAGATTCTAATTCACATAAATTTTAAGAATGTTATGAAATATGACGTGTGGTCTCCAGAATCACAATTCTTTCTTTATAAGACTGGCCTTGGTCAACTGTTTTAATATTCTTCCCTTTCCAAGCTTTCCTTATTCTACCCTAGTAAGATATAAAATAGAATGCTTTTGAAACTTAAATAATGACTGTCATCCAGTGAAAGGTATGATTCAGATAGCTTCTAGAAAAGGTAATAGCTCTGCTTTTCATCTAGTCCTCTGACAGCAGCCGAAGAGGTGATGCCTAAGTAAGTTTCCAGGAGGAAGACGTTACAGTACACTGGACTATCCTTGGCAAACTTGTCGTCTGGCTTGATGCACGGGAATTTATACCAATCACCACAGCTGCCAAACCAAATTTCAAGAAATCCAAGATTTAGCATGAAGAAAACAATGGGTAATAACCCATGAGTAATTTTTAAACACTGAAATATTATTCTACGAATATTACATGAAATAAAACATTGATTTTTGACCGTCTCTTTGCACATTCCTTTTTTAACACTGCTGCTAGAAAAGGTTAAAATGTGCACGGCCAGCACCGTACTCCTAGTGATCGGTGATGCTCGGACCCTCCCTCCAGAGCTGTGGGTTCAAAGCTAAAAGGGCTACGACAAAGTTTTACAATGTTAATTTTTAACAGCTATGTTTTAGAAGGGTTAAATTATGTAACTTTGTTTAATATTGTATACCTCAGGAAAAATTAAATTGCTGTTAAGGTTCTTTTTTCTTTTTAATAAGAAAGCTTTCTATGTTTAAAATAAGGTAGAAAACTATGAATTAGTTTAGTGCCTTCATTTTACCAATAAAGAAACTAAGGCACAGAAGTTATTATATGGACTAACAGATAGCACTTTTCAAATCAATCTTTAAATCATTCATAAAATCAACTGTACCTAAAATTGTTTTGATAAAATTGAGAATGGTACACATCTGTTTTGTTACCTATTTCATCTAACGTGGGCAAGTGTTCATAATTCAATACTACTAAGTATTCTAAGCTATGGCTCCCTGATGGCTGCAGAACCTCCACTGCCCAACCTACATTCGTGCACTTCTATAGTATTTCTTTGGATAAGTTCCTAGAAGTGAAGTCACTAGGTTCAAAGGCAAGACATGCATTTTTACAGCTTTTGATTTGTTTCATCAAACTGTTTTCTAAAAAACAGAAGTACACAAGAGTGCCTATTTCCTCACATTCTTGCCAAAATCAGATTTGTTCGGTTCGGCTTTACCAAAAGGTACCTTTGTGAGTGTGGACCATGCACTTACACGTTTAAGTTTTATACCACAGTTCTGAACCAGGGAACCACCCCCTACCACTCTGGTACATTACACAAATTCACTGAACCAGAAATGAGGATTTGAAGGAAGCAGTATGTAGAACCTAGTCCAATTTTGTTTACAATTTGAGTAATAAAAATATTCTAATGAACATTCTCTTTAAACACATCACAATCCATATCAAATACACGTAGAACCTAGTCAAATTCTGTTTACAATTTGAGTAATGAAAATGTTCTAATGAGCGTTCTCTTTAAACACATCACAATCCATGCCAAATCTACTGAGCATACACATACAAGTAAAGGAAAGCTGCCGCCAAGCACCCACCTGTTTCAGCCTATCATAGTCGAGTCCTTCTGTCTGAACTCCATTGGCACTGGGCTGTGATGAGGGTGCAGATTTTGGTCTGTAGAAATGAAATTTCCAATATAGGTAAACTTTATGATGCTTAATGATTTCCAAATAATTGCAAATTTACCAAACCAACACCAGATTTAATCCTTCAATTAAAAATTCATTTTGTTAAACAGTTAATTGTCAAAATTGTAGAGTTGATTAGAACATAAAACAGAACATATTTTTCACTTTTCTCAGTATCTTCAGTTGTTTATAAAGAAGCCAGAAAAGGGTGATGTGGTGGCAAGACGTCTCCAGGAGAGCAGAAGATAGCATTCTCTGGGTGTGAGGCAGGTAACATGTGGCATGTTGACCGATACAGTGAGGAAGAGGCCAGCTGAAACGACCCAGGCCCAAATAACACAATCCTGTTTTCTCCTTTTGGAATTTTACATTGTCTACTAAATACCTGACACACCAATGGAAGAAAAAAAAAATAACTAACTAGTTTATATAACATAAATCAGTTTACAAATTCTAAGCCTTGGTTTGTAGGAAGGAAACAACAGGCATATTTTTTGTATACATTTTATTTCTTTTTTTTTTTTATTTTTCTGAATTTACTTATCTATTTATTTGTTGTGATTTTCAAACTGCTGGGTCTGGGACTTGAACCATAGTCTGTCATGCGGGAATCGAGCTTAATCATCCCACCACTTGCTGGCCCCCATTTTATTCCATTTCAACCATCAAAATAAACTAGAATTTGACAAAATTACTATTAGGTTAGAAATATATTCATATCCAACTGACTATGTGACTATTTCCCCATGAAGTATTAAAAAAAAATTTTTTAAGAGAGATTTTTACTACAGGGCACATGCACTTGCCAGAGAGACAGAAAGCGAGAAATCACCCACCAGGAAGGATGGCAACACCACAATCTCTTCTTCATTCTTCGCTTGGGATTTGGGGCATGCACGCACATACACCCAGCATGAGTTTTAAGTCACCGGGTTGGGACTCAAACCGTGGTCCCCACCATCTGCTGGTCTACCCCATGGAGTTTTTAAGGAGACATCATCTAAATGGTGTATTTCAGGATAACTATACTTCATAAAATTGTTTTCAAAAAGGAAATGCCAGACAAAAGGGTCAATTATTATAGCCCACATGGCCAAATGAGGTTCAAATCCTAGCCTTGATGGCCTGAAAATCACATTGGTCAGGTGTGTATGTTCCCCAAATCCCAAAGGAAGGAGAAATGGAGAAGGGACTGCAGTGTGACCGTGCCCCACTGTGGGGTTCTTTCTCCCTCTCCCACTCTCTGGATTGCACATGCAATCTGCCAAATTTGGGGGAAAAAATAAAAGTTGAGTTACTATTAAAAATTTTACATGAAGAAATATGTCTTAGGGATTAAGTATATTTTAAGCAAGTTTCAACACCAAATAAATCAGCCATGGCTTTCCCTGCAATTCTGGCAATAAGAGAAAATCCTCAGTAGAAAACTTAAAAAGTTTTAACTGGGTACTCGCTTAAGTTCTGCTTTATTCTAATAAGTGGCCATTCTTTAAGGGCCAAAAATTAGTGCAATCTGAAACCAATATCTGCATCACATATTCTATTTTGCAGAGTACCAATTTTCAAAGATATAATTTTATAAATCTTATAAGACATAATAATTCCAACCCATAGACACTGTTCATGAAGATAAAATACTGAGTTAATCTCCTTTAAAATCAAAACACAGTACTGCTTAAAAGACTGTTATAAAGCAAGGCAATCCATTTTACTTTAGTAAGTATCTGCTGCTATGTTTATATGAAGAAAGGAAAAACAGTAACTTTTCAGGAAACTTCATTCACTAAGCACTGAGGTAGGCACGGCAGGTGATAAGATTTGTCACACCCGTCCTTTCCTCTTAGGAGGCTACGCTGTCATACTTCTACTGAAAAGACTGCTTAATTCTGTAAATCACTTAAGATGCACTGAGACGCATAATATGTAAGTCATGGGGCTCTGCGTAGAGTTAGGTCGAGCAAACATTCTTAACTGCAATTCATAGACTAATGCTAGACCTGTTCTCTAGAACTAAACGATTAATTACTCTGCCTTTACCTTTCACATTTAAGGGGTACAACTAGACAGCTGCTTTTTCAAATTAAAATTTTTGAAATTCACATGAAAAACTACAGCCTGTTACTTAATGGAGCAGTGTGTTATATCCACATTTACTAAACAATGCAAAAATTATTATTGTTATATAATATGTAACTGTTGAAACATGCAACTTTTTAAAAATTTAATTCATGCTAACATGCAATCCATCACCACCACCACCATCACCACCACCATGATAATTACTAAAGGGGGGAACTTTTCATACTGAAGGAAAGAAGTAATCACCACTTTTTTAAAAAGAAAAAAAAAAGTTGATGAACAGCATTTTCCCAAGGGGCACTACATGTTAAAATGGCGAGATAATTGAGAAGATTTATTGTGGAAAACCTAATTATTAAATGCTATTTTTATCTTTATACACCAGTAAATTTTATAAGTAAGTGTTTTACTGAGAATAACATAAACCACCTGAAAAAGAGCAGAAAAAACTATTTCAGAACTGCACTATAAGTATTTTATGGAGACTGGCTGACAACTTACATTTTGATCATGAATGGCATGAAAATAATTTTAGCAAAGAATACGGCCAAAGAGTCTAATTATAGAACTCCCCACTCACGACTATAGATACTCCCTCTGTATGCTATTTAATTCATGCTCTCAACTAGGCTTGATGAGTATTCTGAAAAACAGATGCATAGGATAACAGTATACTTTAGTTACTTCTGAACTATGGATTTTCACATAGATAACTGAGAACAAAATATGAGCGTTCCTCAAGGATCGTCTCACTTTATGAGATGTTTGTCTACAGAATAACTCCACCACAATATTTAAGTCCCAATCCTGTCAAATTCTACAAAATCCTACAAAAGCATCTGAGGATTTTTAATCGTCAGTTTTTTAATTAGGAAGACATTACATGGTTCACATTTTAGGTTTTCTTAATTGAAAAATGGTATACTAAGGCTCCATCTAGAAAATAATCCGTGTAGGATGTTAGGTTGTTAAAGATAACTCAGTTTACTACAAAGTATATGGGAAACGAACCTTTTCCTTGAAGAATGAATTATCCACAATTATGGCTATCTTTTGCTGTCCTTTTTAAAAGCCTGTCTTGTAATCATAGAGAATAGATTTTTAGAAGAAAATGCTAAAGGTACGAATAGCCTAGATAATAAATGTGGCCCTGGAGTTCCTTCAGTTTTTAATGTTTACCATTGATATTTATCCTAATCCAACTAGGGTGAAGGCAAGACTTTAAGGATTCAAAATAAAGCTAAAAACAAAAGATTCAATCTTCTTCAATATCTCCCTTGTGGTGATTACCAATCCAGGTAGAAAAAGCTCGACCCTATCCTGAACGTGTTATTTAAAAGTCTCAAATCACAAAGTCACAGCAGGATGATACCTGTGTAATGAATCATAGGACCTGTTGTCAAAAACAATCTGATTTTTCCTTGGAGAATCCCGTCTATGAAGGGGAAAAACCATTTAAACGGTATACAATAAAACTTGCAAAAATTAATTCTCATTATGTTATGGTTTCATAGGTTTTTAGTTACAGCAAATAAAACAAAAACTAAAGGAGTCTATTAACCTTAAAAATAATTGTGTTTTCTCTAATAAAAAATAATTTTGATCAATAATTTTTTTCAGTTATATGAGATTATTATTTACTTCACAATTACAGAATATTTTTAAAAATCATTAGACACAACTACTTTTATAGGTACTTTTAAAACCTACCTACCACAACGATTCGATAGTATAGAAACAGTCACAGACATTTCTATTAGAGTGCATAGCAAGCAACACATTCAAATAAAATGTACAATAAAAATCACTGCAGCTTAAAGTATACATAAAACTAACTCTTAGGCATGTAAAGAATGTTCCATCCCATCTTAAATACAAGATATGAAAGCTCTTAATGAAAACCATAGGAACAATTTCCAACTTTCCAATATTACATTCCCGTCATGGTTGAAAAGCACTTTTAACTACAATATTGATTTTACTCTGCTATCTGACATTTTCGTTTAAATACAGCATATAATATAGTATCTTATGTATGTTATAGGGTATTAATCCATTTTACCACTAACAAAATTTTGACATGGATATTCAGAAGATAAATCCATACTTTTATTACAGCACAAGGATGAGGCAAACAAATAAAAACATAAAATGTCCAATGTAATATTTGCTTTCAGAAGGGAAAGGGAAAAATTAGGAAGAGAAGCAACATGTTCTTAGTCTTAAAAACAGATTTTTAGAATCTTTTTTTTTTTTTTTGAGAGGTTTTCGCTATATAGGGCACGTGCACACCAGACAGACAGAGACATAGAGACAGAAAGCGAGAAATCACCCCCCAGGGGGAATGGTCACGCTGCAATCCCTTCTCCTCCAGGGATCTTGGGCACACACGCACACATGCCCAGCGTGAGTTTTAAGCCACTGGGTCCGGGACGTGAACCGCAGTCGACTACGTGGGAGTCCAGCGACATAGCCATTACACTAACTGCTGGTTCCCCAGATTTTTAAAATCTTTTATGGCTTAAAATTCTTTTGGTGAAAGACATATATTAGTGGCTTGATCAAATCTATCAAATGGCAAATGAGTGGTAACAAAATAAGCAGATGTTTCAGACTCTTTTGGACAAGGAGGAAAACTTCTTAACAGAATTAGAACACGATTACAACACACCCCTGGAGAATAAGCAAGACTCAATGACTGTCTTAGAAATTTTTTAATGGTGACCTTTAGACTTACTAATTTTCCTTTAGATGTCTGAAAGAAATCTTTCAAAGAAAATCTTTCCACTAAATGACACTATACACATCAAGGAACATATTCCGATGGGAGAACCTCTTCCATGTCTCTTCTAAGATACAACTTCTGCCATTAAAAAATAGGCTTAGCTTTAGGCAAGCTCACCCTGGAATTTCTATGAATGAAGTGAGAATGAGGAGTACAGAATGAGAAAGGATTCTTCCCTGCCACAATTGACATCTTCAGAGGACAAATGGCACATCCCAGTTCTGATTCCAGTTATGTACTTGACAAGTAAGACTTCTATGTAATACTGAAGAAAACCTACAACCCTTAGAGATGTGTCAGAAGGCCACCTCAATTAGGGATCCAAGAAACATCATGCAATTTTTCTACTCTATTGAAAAATACATGTCCGCCCAAAACAATTCCCCTTCTTTTGTTCTAAAAGTCAAATATTTTTCAGTTACTTAGAAACTGAAAGATTTTATACATTAAAAGAGGCCTGGTTCTTTGTGATGCTATATGTCATCACCAAATCTTTCCTACTAGCAGAACTACACAAAAGCCAAATCCAAATTTAGTTAGGCTAACATAAAACAGGTCTGTGGTAATATGAATTCTATCCTTGTACTTTTCTTTGTAAGGTTTCTATAATTACAGTCCACTTTTTTATGAGGAAAAAGTTAGGTAAATGGCTCAAAAAGAAAAGGCACAAAATGTGTTCAGTCTCTAAATATATACCTTCCTTTATCTGGGAAAAATATGAGCCCTTAAAACTGTCTCATAAACCAAGAAAAAGTTTCACCTCTGTTCAAGACCAGTGATATAAATGTAGAGCTAATAATATAAAAAGTATGCCCAGCTAAGGAATAGCAAATTGGCCTGACCATTGCAGGTGTCACCTACAGAAATAAGTATTAACTTTTCTTTCCTAACTTGATTCTGACTAGAAGTTGCAACTGAGCTAGACAACTAAATCTTTCTACTTTCCAAATTCCAGGTTTCGTTTTTATTTCACTATCTCTTAAAAATGAAGTCTTTTCTGTCCAGCTGATTTACAAATAAAAAAGGGAAGGAAATGTGAAAATATGCTTCACTACGTAATATTAGTGTTCAGCACTGGATTTCTTAAATATGTTCGTGCTATGCTAGTTCCTTGGAAAACTGTCCAAGTATTTAGTATGAAGCAGCATTTATTCGCGAATTCCTTTCCAACTACTGAGCAGGGGACAATGTGTGGCTGTGTAATAGTGAAGACCGGTTTGGCAAAATGGTAATGACCAGTGAGTCTAGATGACAGGTCCTACGGGTGTTTGCTGTTCTATTATTTCAACTTCTCTGTAGTGTACATTTTTCAAAATAAATTGGGAGTGACAAATCTACCTCAACATTTCAGACAATCTGGCCAATAAATGCAGAGAAGAATGTATTAGAGAAGCACTAGTAAAAACAGAATGGGGCTCGAGGGTTGCATAATAGAAGGATTATAGGTATTTTATTTGCTCCTTTCTACAATTTGTAATCTACCATAAAATACTATAAAAATATCAATTTCCTTTTAGATGCAAAAGCAATATAAAACATAGGGAAAAAAGCAGATACCTGGATATAACAGGTGACTTGCTGCCATTCATTGTATTCGTTCTTTCCCAAGGTTTTCTTGTTGGTTCTTTAAAAATAAAGAACAAAAGCTATTAAATATCTTAAATGTTTCCAGAGCTACTGTAAAACAAGTAACAACATACTAAATACCATCACACCTGTTTACAGAGTATTAATACAGATCAATCAAGAATTTGAAATTTAAATTCCAAACTATAAAGTTGAAAAATACTCTAACGTGTACAATTTCAGGCCTTAAAATGAGAAAAAAAAAATTATTAAGCAAGTATAAGTTTCCTTATAGAAAAAATTTAAATTGTTAAATCTAAAATGTTGTGGGACCGGCAGGTAGAGTGGTGGTTAAGGATGCTGGATTCCCACATGGCTGACCACAGTTTGAGTCCCGGACCTAGCAGCTTGCTTTCTCTCTCTCTCTCTCTCTCTCTCTCGTCAAATTAAAATAAATAAATAAATAAATAAAATTCAATAAAATACTTCTTTAAATAAAGAATCAATTATTAAATACTTCCCTTTCATCTAACACTGTATTTTCCTTGTGTCAGAGCACTAACAATAATACAAACAGAATATGTAAAATTACAATTTAAAAAATAAATCATGTGAGTTTTAACAGCACTCCCAGTTTGAACAGACCTCTCAGTATCAGGAAGAACATAACATCAGCTTCTGGGATTATCAAAGATAGAGGGAAAAAGTCAATGCTTTCAAGTGTGAACAAAGACCTCGTAATATTTTAGAGACTAAGTAGTCACTTGGTCCATACACCGAAAGGACGGAATTTTTTTTTTTAATTTCAAGAAAAGCAGTTTTAGCTTTAATGAATCAAAATCAAAGTTAATAAAAATTTGCTTAAGACTGAAAGTCAGGAAGCAGGTTAGGATTCTGTCTAAACAGTAAGTAGATACTAAAACTCAAATAAAACAAATATGGACAGAGCTAAAATCTAGTAGCAACTGCTCTACAGTTTTCTTCTGAAACATTTTTTTCTCTTCACTCCCCCTCTTACCAAAGAGAAATATAAACTAACTTATCTGCCAAAAATTAAGTTTAGTCACTGAAAGGAGGGAATTTTTCATCGAGGAGTATTAATACTTAGAGAAAGTTTATAAGGTTAAAATATGTCTCTTAAACTTACCGGGTGTACTTGTTGAAGAAGCTTTAGAAGTTACAGGCTCTGAATCTTCCTAAATACGCAGAAACATAAATATTACTATCACACGTAGCACTGGGTCATCAGGAAAGTCATGACACACTTTTGCATAGAAGAACACGTCATGTCTTTCCCGACGACCTACTAGAAACCTATTGCCACAAACATCTAGTGTTTTACATCTTCTGCCCCCAATATTCTTTCTGCCACTCTCACATTTCCTTTTCTGTGTTCCCTCCCACGCCCACTCAGACTTCTCGCTCCTCTTACCTTCCTAACATTCCTCCCTTCCCCACAGCTCCTTCCCTCACAGGTCCTCTCTGAGAACCTGCATTAGCCAATGCTATGAGGCTGGATATGAGAGACAGATTTGAGGCATGGCATCAAAGAAGGCCAAATATTACAGGGAAAGCAATCGTATTATTTGCTGAACACCAATACAGAGAACAGATAGAGCGTATCCAAGCGAATAGGGAAAGGAAAGATAAAGGGTACACTTTTAAGGGGCGCAGTTAATAACCACAGGAGTTAAGAGAAACCATATGAAAACAGTTCGGTTAGTCTAATTCCTTCACTTTATATTAATGCGAAGAAACTAAGATCCTAATTAGGGGAAAGGGAGGCTAGTTAAAGGTCATTCGCTCTTTAAAGGTAGACTTAGGAACAGCATTCAACTAAGTTTGAATCTGAGTCCTTTTCTCACTCTATCAACTCATTTGGAGTAAGAATGCCATTAAAAATTTATGACATTCAAAACAAGCCATAATAGTTGAACAACTTAAAACAAGCGAATTTAAATTCAAACTCATGAAGGTCAGATTAAATCATCTTCGACACAATTCCCTGAAGGAGCTAAGCTGGAATTTCACATGTTAAGATGCAGTAGCTGTCTTTATTCGCTTACACTTTTGTCTTCTTTCTGTTCTGCTTCTATTGTTGATCCCTTTTCAGCAATTCTTCTCCTGAAAAGAAAACAGATTGGATTTCTTTTTAAACAATCATCTAACTCTTACCATGAAAACTACTTCTCTAAGAAGAAACAACTAAGTTGCAATTGGAACACAATTAACCAAGTCTTGGGCTGGCCCCATAGCACAACACAGTGCTGTGCTGAAAAAACCAGACCCTGTAAGGCTGACAGCAATTCAGATTCCTGCCCTGGCAGCTTGGAAAACACACTAGACGTGTGTGCCAGGGGCCTAAAGTCCTGATGGGATGGAAAATGGAATGAAAGGATTGTGGCATAACCACATGCCATTGTGAGAGGTACTTTTGCTGTTTCTCTCTTTCTGGTGAGCATAAGCCCCAATGTTAATAAAAATACAAGAAGGGGGCCATCAGGTGGCATGGTAGTTAGGCACTGAATTCCCATGTGGCCAACTGTGGTTCAAGTCCTGGACCTAGTGGCTTGAGAATCACACCAGACATGTGTGCATGTGTGCCCAAAATCTCAAGAGAAGAATGGAGGAGAAGGGACTGTGGTGTGGCCACCCCTGCCCCAGGGGGTTATTTCTCACTTTCCTTCTGTCTCTCCCAACAAGTACACTCGCTCTATGGCAAAAAATTAAAATACAAAGAAAACTTAACAAAATCTTCTAGATTCTATACAATGAAATTTCTCACCTCCTGGCCAGCAGGGCACTCATTTCTTCCATTAAACCACTACCCCCTAAAGGAAGGGGTCCATTTCCACGACCTGTATCTGTTTTAGATGAGGCTGAATTCACACCAATGGTATTCCCTCCACTTGGGAAAGAGGCATCCTCCATCTTAATGAGAATATATATGAATATATATATATATATATATACACACATACACACACACACACACACACACACACACACACATACACATATATATGATAAACTATGTCAGGCAAGCATATATTTATTAATATAGTACATTCAAACAGAAAGATACATCGACATTGAGTTCAGAAAAATACCTAAGTATTTTTTAACCTTAAGAATCAACAAATGGGGACCAGTAGTTAGCATAATGGCTATGTTGCTGGACTCCCATGTGGTCGACTGTGGTTCGCGTCTCGGACCCGGTGGCTTAAACTCACACCGGGCGCGTGTGCGTGCGTGCCTAAGATCCTGAGAGGAGAACAGAGGAGAAGGGATTGCAGCGTGGTCATCTTCCTGGGGGGTGATTTCTCACTTTCTATCTCTCTGTCTCTATCTGTCTGGGGAGCACACGTGCCCTATAGCAAAAACCTCTCCAAAAAAAAAAAAAGAATCAACAAATGAATAGCACTGACTCTATATACTAGTAGGAGTCTTATCAGAGTCAGCATCACCAACAGTGGGATATCCTGTGTCCTTTCATGTGACACATGGTGGATACAGCTCCACTTTGGTGGCAGTCCTACCCCCAAAATGCATGATCAGAATCTCATCTTGAGGACACATCAGATAAGCAAAACTGAAGGACAATCTACAAAATAACTGTCTCACAGACTTCAAAATGTCAATATCATCAAAGAATGAATGACATAACCAGAAGAGACTTACAAACAAAAGATCTTGTACTAGGAAAAAAAAAAAGACGGTAACAAACATTACTAGTCAACAGATGAAATCTGAATCTGCTTGGAGATTAAAGTTTTCTATCAATCTTAAATTTTCTGATTTTGACCATTATTCTGTGGTCCCACAGGTGAATTGCCTTCTCCTTACAAAATATATACTGGGGTATCTACAGGAATAGGGACATGACATCTATTACTGTCAAATCATTCAGACAGGAAGTTTGTATAGAAGGAAACAAACAAAGAATAATAAAGCAAATATTGGTAAAATATTAACTGATAAATTTAGATGATGGGTTTACAGAAATCTATATTATTCTCACAACTTTTCTGTGAATTTATCATTACAATTTTTTAATCAATTAATGTAACAGCATAGAGTTCATAAAACTAGAATGCAATAATGCCAATGTTTCATATCTTTAGAGAGAATAAAATATATGTTTAATAATGTAACAATCTGAAAAAGTATTTACCCGAGACACTTTCCTAAGTTTTGCTCCAGCTATTGCAGCTGCAAGTCCAGTTAAAGGGCGATTGTCTTCTGACATGGATCCCGAAAAAAATCCAGATGCAGGGAGGGGAGGGGCCGGAGGTGGTGGAGGAGGAGGGGGTACTTGATTAGGAAGAGGGGGTGGAGGAGGTGGAGGTGGAGGCCCAGAGGCTGGAAGTGGAGGTGGTGGAGGAGGACCCGGGGGAGGAGGAAGTGCAGTTGAAGCCTGGGCAGGACCTGGTGGGAGCGGTGGAGGGGGTGGAGGTGCAGGTGGTCCCAAGACAATGCCTGAGAGAGAGAAATGTTAAGTAAGACCATCAACAATGGAGCTAAGTGATACTATTTTATGTGAAAAGGTATGCTGAATGCCCTGCTAAACTGGTTCAAATATATTAGTAGTTCAACTTATCACAATGTTTAAAGCCTAGATCTAGGGTTTTGAAAGATAACTGAAATGCGAAGCCAAAGTATACAGAACTATTGACTTTAGGTTAGAGCATTAGCAATAGAATGATGCAATAGAACTCACTTGAATTTTTTCCATGAGGATTTGGTAAATAAACAAAATAAAGGCTTATAAAATGTGGGAAAGAGGTAACCATTCCTAAGAAACTGGTATACTCGTTTATGATGGCAGTTAGTTAAAATAACAGCTCAAATAATCCATGTATATCTTAAGTGTTGAAGCTACATTCTACAATAGCAACTCATATTTAGTTGTTTCGAGACAGTCAAAGTGGATCCCTTCAGTATCTTAAAAATATTCTGCATTGAAATCCTATGTATAATTAGGGTTAGGAATCACTGAAATAAGGAATTTACTAGTATAAAGTAAAACTTCACTATCAGAAATAATCAAATAACACAGAAATAAAGTACAGAGTTGTTTTAGGCCACACAATGAGGGTAAGAAATGTTCAATCTTGTAAAATCACAAAGGCAGTGAATAAGAATCTATTTAAAATTAGAATACTGAACTAGTAGGTACTCTCTTAAGACTTAAAAGGGCTGTTTTATGACAAAGAAAATGTTATTTGCACACTGGGTGGTAACTGCCAACCTTTCCAGCTTAAGTAATTACGCAAGCAGAAAATATAAATTGCTCAGGAAAGAGTCAAGTCACAGGCTGTCATCTTAGAATTCTGAGGACGCAGGAGGTAGATCTTTTAACTCTGACAGGCTGACTGTGCCTTTCTCGTCCAGAGTTGCAGTAATAGTGATCGTAATTTACCCATACTAGAATTGTGACTCAACTTTTAGGCAAAGTCTTAAGTCAACCACACAAATATATACAGGGCAATAACAAGATTATTACTTCATCTTAGAAACTACAATATTTCTCTCTCTCTCTCTTTTTTTGAGAGGTTTTTGCCATAGGGCACATGCTCTCCCAGAAAGATAAGAGACAGAGAGACAGAAAGCGAGAAATCACCCCCCAGGGGGGATCACCACCTCACAATCCCTTCTCCTCCATTCTCCTCTCAGGATCTTGGGCAATGCATGCACACGCACCCAGCGTGAGTTTAAACTGCAGGGCCCAGGACTCAAACCATGGTCAACTACATGGGAGTCCAGCGACATAGTCATTAATGCTAACTGCTGGTCCTGACTACAATATTTTAAAGAGGTATGTTTAAATCCAGTCTGTAACACTGTTTTATGTTCTCTCTCTCTTTTTTCTTTCTTTCTTTCTTTTTTTATTTTTAGGTTTTTGCCATTGGGCTTGGGCATGTACATTCACCTGAGAGAGATAGAGGGAAATTAAGAAATTACTCCCCAGGGAGATGACCATGTCACGATCCCTTCTCCATTCTTCTGGGATTGTGAGCACACATGCCTGGCATTATTTGCTAGATGTTAGGTCCAGAACTCAAAGTATGGGTGGCCACCTGGAAGTCCAGCACCTTAACTACCATGCCACCTGATGGCCACAACAGTGTTTCTTTAAGTATGAATGTGTTTTCAGCTTCTTTTCTGTAATCCTCGCTAAATCCTATTGTAAAAGAAGTAGAGATGCTAAGTATTATACAGACTCCTTCACATACAGAATCAGGTCCTTCTCGGGACCAGCAGTTAGCATAATGGCTATGTTGCTGGACTCCCATGTAATTAACTGTGGTTCGCGTCCCGGACCTGGTGGCTTAAAACACACCAGGCGCGTGTGCGTGCATTGCCCAAGATCCCGAGAGGAGAATGGAGGAGAAGGGATTGTGACGTGGCCATCCCCCCTGGGGGGTGATTTCTGGCTTTCTGTCTCTCTATGTCTGTCTAGCGAGCACACAAGCCCTATGGCAAAAACCTCTCCAAAAAAAAAAAATCAGGTCCTTCTCTACTTACAAATAATCCATACTTGGAGGATGTAATTGCTCCCTTCCTAGTTACCATGACAGCAGTGTGTGTGTGTGTGTGTGTGAGAGAGAGAGAGAGAGAGAGTTGGGGCAGGCTAGGATAAATGTAGAGGAGGCTATACTTTCTCAATTACCCCTTCAGCCCACTATTCCTTGCAATTTTGGTTCACAGAACCCTTCTGGGTTAAGTCAGCCAACCTTCTCTACCCCTCCTGCAAAGTCAAGATGCTCCACAGGGTTAAGGGTTGCACCCAGCCTGAAAGTCTAATATAGTGAACCTAACACAAGAGAGGCTGACATGAGAAAGGGCCCAGGGTGAAAACTTCCAGAGGTAATTTGAGAATGATATACCTAATAACTAAACTAACTGTAACTCTTAAGTCTCTGAAAAATTAAAGGAAAACAATTTAGATCATGTATCAAATATGTCAGATAGTTTCCCCAGTAAAACTGAAAAGAATTATACTATGGGGGCCCTTAAATACCTTTAACCATGAGAAGACACCAAAACCTAGTTCAATATGGAAATTTCTTATATTGATCTTCCAAATGAAAATTAATCCAACAGGAAAAAAATGTTTTCTACTTAATTATTTTAAACTTTAAAATATGAGGCACTATGACACAAAGATGTTTAACTATCAAAACCATTCTACCCAGTCTTCTAGACAGTTAACGTTGCTCTATAGTATTTTCACCTGGTTAGTCGTCAGTAGCAATAACAAAGCCTTACCCTGCTGGGCTGGAGTCTCGGCCGGCTGAGAGGCTGCCTGCAAGCCTGGCTCAGAAGCAGAGGAGTCTCCCAGCACAGAGTTTAGAGGAGTCTCAACAGAGGCAGGGGCAGCTGCAGAGGGAGAAGGGAGAACACTAGGCTTGGATGAGGGAGTTGAGGCAATAGGGGTGCTTGGAGGAGGAGAAGCTTGAGATCCACAGTGTGAGAGTGATGCGAGGGAAGGCAGTGGAGGCGGCGGCGGAGGAGGAGCTGCTGGCCCTGAGGTAGGCGGTGGAGACACTGGATATGTTACAGAGTCAAGGAGCCCATTGGGTGCTGTCGGTGATGGAGGCATTTGGGGCACAGGAGAAGAAACACAAACAGGGAGAACGGGCCTTGGGCCAGTAGCTTTGCCTGGGGGGCTGCTAATCATTATTGGAGGAGATGGAGGGAGGGGCGAAAAATTGGAAGTAGACCAGGCACAGGGCTTCGTAGCTGGAGGCTGAGAAGAGGGTGTGTTCACAGGAGAAGAAGGTCGAGAGTTTTTGTTCAGAGGACGAGGAACTGTAGCATAATGGGGAAGAACAGGGTGGAAGGCTGAACCTAAAGATGTTGCAAAACGTGTCGCTGAGTGTCGCAGTGGTGGTGTAGGGGGTGTGGAAGTAGGTGGCAAAGCAGTCACTACAGCATAATCAGGAGTGGCATCTGACACTGGAGCTGAGATGACTTTAGCGTATGATGGAGGAGGTGCTGAAGGAGGCTGGCAACTGGAATACTCAGGAAGTGGAGCGTTATACAGGGAGCTGTCTGGAGATGGAGCTGGACAGAAGGTGGAAAGCAGCGGCAAAGACAGGATACAAAAGGAGAGAGAAAAAGGGAGCTAGTGAAGCCACAAAACCAGCATTCAGACAAATGTATAAATGTAGACTACAGTTAGTACCAGAGAACTCAGGCACATGTGCAAATAATAATTTTTACCCTAGAATATTTTAACTTATAAACATGTTTTGAGATATAGAAGAGAATCAAGTTTTCTTTTTAGCTAGTAAGTGCATTAACAAATTACTTTATCCTTTATAAGAAAAAGATAATAGCACTCTTAATTTTTATTATTTAGTACACTAAATGGACATTAAGATTACATGAATAGGACCACAAAGAGAAGAATAAATTTAGCTTTCTTTTAAGGAGCCAAAAAATAGCAAAAGTAGCAAAACGTTACTACAAAGGGCAAGGAACCAGCTATTCAATGCTCATTTGTGGGAACATTTTGTCTTGTCAGCTATAATTCCAGAAAATAATTAGGCAGTTTAAAACAAAATTAATTTAAACAATAAACTAACCAACCAGTTACCCAATCCACATTGAGACAAATGCTCAAAAATGCTTAAATCGTATATTAATTTTAATGAATGCTAAAATACCCCAAACTATGAGCCAAATTTTAACCTTTATGCTTCCAGTAAATCCCATCAGATTTACTAATTTTTCACAATATTTAAATAGCTAGCCAGTTTCAGAAAGTCTTTTTTTACCTCCTCTTTCAATTCCTCCTTCAAAAACTTTAAAATGCAATGAAGCCAACCTCTGGCTGTATGGTCCTATATTACTACAGTATTTGAGACAATTTAAGCAACCCACGAGGGAAATGTATTCCAAGTTCATTCGTTATAAAAAATTTCCCATAAAAGTACAGCTTAATCTTTATAGGGAGTCAGAATAATTAGAATGCCAGAATAAAAACTTCTAAGAGCATTCTTTGAGTCTCCAAGCAATAACAGCAATAGAGAGATAAAACAAAACGTTAAAGTAGTCACTGCTGTACACTTTTCTCTGGCTTCAAATCGTATTGCTTAAACCCGAGCACCACAAATGCGAAATATTCTAATACACGACTGCACGGAACATCAGCAAACTGATGAGAACATGGAATAATCTGTAAACTTCTTACCAGCGTTGGAGATCCTGCGCTCTCTCTCCCATTCCAACTGCTCCCTCTCTAACTGTTCTTGTCGCTCTCTTTCTTGCCTTTCCCGTTCCAGTCTCTCCAGCCTCTCCCGGTCTTGCCGTTCTTGCCTTTCCCGCTCCAGCCGTTCCTGCCGCTCCCTTTCTTGTCTCTCTCTCTCCAGCTGCTCCTGTTCCAGTCGCTCCCTCTCTAGCCTTTCCCTTTCTAACCTCTCTCTCTCCAATCTTTCCCTTTCCATTCTTTCTCTCTCCAGCCTTTCCCGCTCCAGCTCCTTTTGTCGTTGTTCTTGCAGTTGCCTAAAATAAATAAATAAATAGACAGATAGATAAAATGAAATAGGCATCTATGGCTTGTGATCATTAAAAAGCTATTCTTTTTATAATGAACCTATGTGAACTATAGTTCTAATTCAAATAAAGGCAATGTAGAGTGTCAATCAGCTTTTCTCCTCCCACGTGAAGGAAGGCTACCACAGACAGACGACTTACATTTCATACAAACAAAAAATTATTTCTCATTAGCATCACTCTGATTGAACGTTTCATCACCTTACACTAATGTCCCGTTGTACTTACTCTTCGCTTTTCATGAACAGCGTGGCAAATAAATGAAGTTGACAAATAACAACACATCATACATGTAACCATTGTAATGATCAAAAGTCATCAGTTTATGCCTTTAATGAATATGTGTAAAACTTTATTTTCCTTCCTACAATATCTCAAATTTTAGTTGTACAAGTAATACATTATCATTTCAGGAAATACACTGACTGGCCACAGCAAAAGCTCAATAAAGATTTGATGAGTGGGATAAAAAAGACAAAAACAAAGCCACAGGGAAGCTGGAAAGAAAATCGTTAAAATCAATATGGTGTACGCATGTGCATATGTATTTCCAGACCTGTTCTCAGGTAAAAATACACACATAAGCTTTAAAAGCCAGATTAAATGGAATCTATTTCCGTACTACTCTGAAATCTGCTTTCTTTTATCTCCTTAATATAGTTTAGATTTTGCCATAATTTTTTGGTACCATAATTTTCCTAAGGGCATAATATTCTATTGTTAAGCTGTCCGCAGTTGAAGTAGTATCTTATAGTAAAATTTAAGTTATCCTAATACTACTGCTAACACTGCAATACACACTTATTTCATCTTTGAACCGCTTTCCAACTGTTTCTATAGGATTCATACTGACACACAGATTTGCTAAGTCCAAGTTCATATAATATGAAGATTTATTTTTTGAGAGACAGAAAGTGAGATATCACCCCCTTGGGTGATGACCACGCCACAATTCCTTCTCCTCCACTGTCCTCCTGGGATTTGGGGCACACGTGCACACACACCCAGCATGAGTTTCATGCCTCCAGGTCCAGAACTCGAACTGCAGCTGGCCATATGGGAGTCTAGAGCCTAAACCACCATGCCACCTGCTGGCCCCTATATATTAAGACTTTTAATACAAGGTTCCAAAATAATTTTAGGAAAAGTTGTACCAATTTTTAAAAATTTAACTTTATTGATTTTAATTTGACCAGAGAGACGGAGCGAAAGAGTGAGAGCAAGAGTGAGGGAAAGTGAGAAAGGAAGCCACCAGGTCCAGGACTTGAACTACAGTTGGCCATGTGAGAGTCCAGCACTCTTAACCACTACTCCACCTGCCGGCCCCAAGTTGTACCAATTAATGCACCCACGAAAAGATTATCTTCATCTTATGTATTTCAGACATTGTGGGAAAGATTAAGTTAGGTAGTACATTTTAAAGTTCCTTTAAAAGTACCTGGAGTACAACAACACTCAACATAGGTGAGGTATAGTAACTTCTACTTGAAAATTTCAAATTGGGACTTCTCTGGAATGGCTAATAAACAGGCTCTGCTTAGAGGCAAAGCTAATCAACAAGAACGCGTATGCTGTCTCTGGTTCCTTGAAGTAATATCAATACACCAATAAGATCTTTCTGAAAAACCTCCCCCTTCATATTTCTTAAGCTGGCTATATAATGAAAGAAAAAGCTCACTTGACAAGTACCTTAACCCTACTTCTCTCATAAAAACATGGGCCAGACCTGTAGCCTCGTGGTTAAGGAAGCCAGATTTCACAAAGCTGACTGTGGTTCAAATCCAGTCCCAGTGACTTGAAAAGCATGCCAGGTTTGTTATGCATATGCATGCCCAGAATCCTGACAGAATGGAGATGGAAGAGAAGGGACTGTGGTGTGACCATGCTCCAGTAGGTCTTCTCTGACTCTGATGAGTATGGGCATACTCTGGCAATTAAAAAAAGGGAAAAAAGAGCCAGCAGATGGCATAGAGGTTACGTCGTTGGACTCCTACATGGGCAACCATGGTTTGAGTCCCAGACCCAGTGGTGTGAAAATCACGCCCATGTGTCCTAAGGCAAAAACCTCTTTAAAAAAAAAAAAAAAAAAAGGCCGGGGGGGTTGCGAGGAGGAGAACAACGCATCCTCTCTCTGGACATATCACCATACTTAACAAAGACTGCAAGAGAAAAACAGAAACCTGTCATAGTGCTTATTAAATGAGTGGTTGTTTAAGATATTGACTCTTAATAAAATCAGACCTTCAGTATAGTACTGGCTATAGTATCATGCTATTTAATAAGTCACCAGCTGCCAAAGTTTTTAAGGGACAATAATCACTGCAGAGATGAAGGAAAGAAATCAGATATTCAGAATATATCTTTTACCTTGTTTATCTATTTCTTCCATATAAGAGGGGAGGTAGGTACCCCAGCCAGGGTCCTCACATCGCAATCCACCCCCAGTCTCAGTCAGCCTAGAAAACGTGCACTTATGTGCACTCAGCAGGTAGAAGGCGGCTTTGGGACCGGACACCAGGGCACTCCCATGTCGGGCCAGTTGCAATGCTGCTACACCATCATCTCTCCCAGAAAAATGTTTTTGATACTGAACTACACAGAGAAAAGTGAAGTATCTTTTCTACAAACAACCTGTATCTAATTAATAAACTCAGCAAGGGCTTGTATTAAAATGTAAACATTCAACATGTGTCAAAAAATAAGGGCCATTTAAAAGGGAATACTTAAAGCAGTCTGCTGGGTCCAAAGGGCAAAATATATACCCACGTTATTCTAATTGTTATATATCTACACAAAAGCTAAAGGAAAGATCTTAAGTGCACAAATACAGCACCAAGAAATCTAGGATTAAAAGATACAAGGTCTGGGAACCAGCAGTTAGCGTAATGGCTATGTCGCTGGACTCCCACGTAGTCGACCGCGGTTCGTGTCCCGGACCCGGTGGCTTAAAACTCACGCCGGGCACGTGCGCGTGCATGCCCAAGATCCCGAGAGGAGAATGGAGGAGAAGGGATTGCGGCGTGACCATCCCCCCTGGGGGGTGATTTCTCGCTTTCTGTCTCTATGTCCTCTTAAGCACACAAACACAGCACCAAGAAATCTAGGATTAAAAGATCCAAGGTCTTAGGCCTTCTAATATTTCTGTGTCATCCCTTTCATTTTTATAAAAATGCAAGTACACAATTTTTAAAGCCTGTAAAACCAGCAATTCATTGCCTCAACCCTCAAACCCTCGTTTCCTACACCTTCAGGTGTTTCCTAGGTTTTTAGCTTTAGGTAACACTTTTTCCCCCCAGTTTATTTCTCTGAGAGAAAGGAGGCGGGAGCAGAGCACCCCGAACAGGGACCTTGTGCCACAATCCTACCCCAGTCTCATACTCAGGAAGGTCCCGGATGTGGGTCCAGCTGCATCACCACTGCCTGCCTTTGAGTATCTGATTTCTAGTGGAAAAGCTTTCAATATAGTCATGGGAAAACAGTGATTTTTGGTTAAATCCATTTTCAGGATTTATATTATTAATGTAATGTGAATACTGTTCATAGCTGAACCATACAGTTTTCTATAACTACACTACATTTTCATTCTTGGTCTTAGTTTTTGTTTTGATGTTTTTTTTGTTTGTTTGAGAGAGAGAGAGAGAGAGAGAGGTTTTTGCTATAGGGCGCGTGCACTCGCCAGAAAGACAGAGAAAGACAGAGAGAAAGTGAGAAATCACCCCCTGGGGGGATGGCCACGCTACAATCCCTTCTCCTCCATTCTCCTCCTGGGATCCTGGGCACACACACATACGTGGCACGGCGTGAGTTTAAGCCACTGTATCCAGGACTTGAACTGTAGTCAACTACATGGGAGTCCAGCAACAGAGACATTACACCACCTGCTGGTCCCCTTAGTTTTCTTTTTTAATCCCTAAGTTAAAGGATGGTTCACTAAGCATGAGAGGTACAGGTGAGGTAAACCTGAAAAGAGTTAACTGCACAATGGTATCTACAAGTAGAAAATGACAGTCCCACATGAATATTCTAGAGTTTTCAGTCCACAAAAGACAGAGTCTACTGATACAGGAAAAGAGCACAAGGCCACAGAGTATTCCAAGTTCATTAATAACAGCAAAAGATTATATTGACCATATTTTTTGGTTTGATAAAAAAGAAAAGTACTGAACATCTCTTTATTTCTTTAGCCTGCTTACTAAGAAGATGTCCATCTAAACATATTTCTCAAAAAGTGTACCAAGAAGAAAACTTCTGGCTCAGAAATCTTTAGTGGCATAAATAATTCCCACCTTAATTGGACGGTTTATAGATCTGGCCTTTGTGTATCTTTTTAGGGCAAATTTATTGGAAATGTATGTGGTCCCTTTTCCTAGATTTGTCTACAACTGATTGTGTTTTTTTGGTCTTTAATAGAATCACCTGAAGATTTTTTTTCAATGTACAAGTGTCTTAATTCTGAACGATCTGAACAAATTCTGATAGATTAATTTTTCATTAAAGTTAGGATACTCATTTTAATTTCAAAGCTTCCCAAAAAGTATGCTTTTTCAGAAATAATTATAGAATAAGTGACCAATATTACAGTCACTAAAGCATCTAAAAAATAACATAGTTTCAGGACCAGCAGTTAGCGTAATGGCTATGTGGCTGGGCTCCCATGTCAACTGCGGTTCGAGTCCCAGACCTGGTGGCTTAAACTCACGCCGGGTGCGTGTGTGTGCGTGCCCAAGATCCCGAGAGGAGAATGGAGGAGAAGGGGTTGCGGCGTGGCCATCCCCCCTGGGGGGTGATTTCTCACTTTCTATCTCTCTGTCTTTCAGGTGAGCACACGTGCCCTATAGCAAAGACCTCTCCAAAAAACAAACAAACAAACAAACAAAACAAAACAAAAAAAAAACATTCTACCACCAGAATATCTCTCTCTCCAAAAGAACTACTCCAAAATGTAAATA